AAATAAAATAAAATAAAATAAAATAAAATAAAATAAAATAAAATAAATCTAACTTTAAAAAAACTAAGAGTAGCAGTTTGATACTGTGAGTTAATATCAAATGCTTTATACTCTAAGCCACAGTGACTTAAAAGAGATTGCCTCATTTTATTCATTCATTCATTTACTCACTCACTCAGTTTGAAGTGCTGAAGGTCAAAAACAAAACCTCTTGAACGTTAGGCTCTGCCACCAGGCCACATCTCAGCTCTAAGCCTGTTCAATAAGACAATGACTGAATGTAGCTTGTCAATGCAGCAGAGTGGTAGAGGTAGTCCAAAAACCTTGCACTGAGCTGGGCACAGTGGTGAACAACTGTAATCCTAGCACTCAGGGAGGCAGAGGCAGAGGCAGGTGGATCTCTGTGAGTTTGAGGCCAGCCAGGTCTACAAAGTGAGTCCAGCACAGTCAAGACTACCCTGTCTTGAAAAACACAATGAAACAAAGTAAAACAAAACAAAAACCTTGCTCTGGTTATATATTTACACATTGTACTTGGAATGGTTTTTTCCATATTGATTTTTTTTTTCACAAGAAGAAAAATTCATTCAAGACCAGCCTACCATAATAAACCATGTAGTCCTTGCTGCATTCTGGATGCGTTTCAGAGAGCCTTCATGGATGTCTGGTTGTATTTCAAGGTAAAACAAAAGACTTTCATTGATGATATTGGACAACCAACTGATGGAAAGAAAATGGTTCACAGGTGAAGAAAGCACTGAGTGAAATTCATAGTAACTTTCACCATGGTCTATATGTACCAGTTCTTGGTGGCAACACGAACACTTTTGGGGGAAGGAACTGAGTTTGCACCAAGACATTAACTGAAACATAATTTCTTCTCTTGGTCTAACACAGACCTCAACATGTCCTCCTGATAGAAACAGTCCACATCACATCAAGGTATAAAAGTTTAGTCCTGTATCAAACCAAACCAAAAATCATTCCCGTAAGAGAAGTAACTTAAATACTTTTCCTTTTCTTTCTTTCTTTCTTTCTTTCTTTCTTTCTTTCTTTCTTTCTTTCTTTCTTTCTTTCTTTCTTTCCTTTCCTTTCCTTTTATTCCTTCCTTCCTTCCTTCCTTTTCTTTTTTCTTTCTCTCTTCTTCTCTTTTTTTCTTTTCCTTATTTTTTGAGAAGTAACCTAAACTTTTGATAGAGACCAAAACACTGTTTTGATATTTTATGTGGAATTTGTGTGTGCTGAGAGTTGGGGTTGTGGGGGAAAGAGCTGGGGATGGGCAGTCAGAGGACATATCTAGGAGTCAGTTTTCTCCTACCACATTGTGGGATATAGGAATCAAACTCAAGTAGTCAGACCTGAGCATAAGAGCCTCTACTTGCTGAACTAGCTCACCAGACCTGTGGTGATGTGAATGAGAAAAGCTTCTATAGACTTATATGTTTGAATACTTGATCCCTAGTGATGGAATTCTTTGGGAAGGACAAGGAAGGATAGACATGTTAGAGGAGGAGTGTCACTGGTGGTGAGCTCTGAAGTGTCAAACACCCATGCCATCCCCAGTGAGCTTCTTTGCTTCCTTTCTGTGCACTGGGAATTGAACTCTGAGCTACAGTTCTAGTGCCATGTCAACTTGTCTGCTGCCATGCTTCCTGCTATGGTGGTGATGAAATCCTGTCTTCTGGGAGTGTAAGCCCCAAATAAACCTTTTCTTTCATAAATTACCTCTGTTGTGGTGTTTTATCACAGCAGTAGAAAAATAACTAATATAAGCCCTTAAAGAGAGTTTTAAAATGTCAATCTTGGTGGATCCATGGAATGTAAAGTAATAAGAAGTAATAAGATATGAATGTATGACAAGCTGTAGTTAATATAGACCTCTCCTGGGAGGGCATTTAAAGAAATGCCCTCACTGGGGGAATTAATACCACAAAGATTTGCCATGTTGTGTATGGTACTAATTCATTACTGTTTTAATAGAAATCTTTTTTTTTTTTTTTTTAAGACAGGGTTTTTCTGTGTGGCATTGGCTGTCTTAGAACTTGCTTTGTAGACCAGTCTGGCCTCAAACTCACAAGAGACCTGCCTGCCTCAGCTTCCTGAGTAATAGGATTAAAGATGTGAGCCACCACCTCCCAGTTGATTACCATCTTTTTACATAAGTTTTGTTAGGTGGTTTCAAAGCATCAACCACAATTATTTGTGCAAGATGCCAATGGTGGTCACAAAAAGCAGATAGTTGCTCTGATTTTTCTCTTCCTTCTAGTGAGCTGAGCCTTTATACTAAAGATGTACCCTGGCCCTTTCACTGAAGACACGCGAGTTCTGGGGACAAGAGTAGACAGATAGGTACATGTATATGCTTATGGCCACGGGCTAGAAAGTTGGCTCATCAGTCAAAAATCACTTTCTGTTCTTGTAGAGGATGCAGCTTCAATTCCCAGTACTCACAGGGTGGTTCACAATTGTCTTTAATCCCAGCACTCCAGAGGCAGTCCTATCTCTGAGTTCCAGGCCAGCCAGAGCAACATGGTGAGACCCTGCCCTCATCTTAAAAAAACAAAATCATTAACTCCAAGGGGATCTGAGCATACTCTTCTGGTCTCCAAGGACACCAACAAGCACACACATAGTACATATACTTAAACACAGCCAAAATATTTATATTTATAAAATAAAAAGCATGACTGTTTCTTTATTTTCCTTAGCCCAGCAATGGAATGAAAGAGCAAATGCATATGGTTTAAATATTTGAAAACTGAACCCATAGCTAGGCATAGTAGTACATGATGGCAATCCCAGCATCTAAAAAGGCAGAAGCAGGGGAATCACTGCAAATTCAAGGCCACCTGGGTCTACATTATGTATTCTGGCATCAGCCAGGAGTAGGTAGTGAAATACTGTCTCAAAACAATAACAAAATAGAAAGAAGAAGAGAGAAAAGAACAACTGGCTGAATCTGTCTTTAAAAAAGGAACAAGAAAACAGAAACTCAAACATTAAGTTCTTATTCTCAGAGTTTGAATCATAATTGTCATAAAAGGTTTTATAAAAATATATGGGTTCTGGACTTGCTGACCTATGTTTTGTTCATTTCTTTAGAAAATATCCTATATTTCTCAAAGATTTCCATTCCGGATTCTTTCCTTAGGAACTCTCAAGTCACATTTGGAGAAGTAAAATGGCAAGTTGGCATATCTTTCTCTCTAGCACTACCAACGACAAACGTATTAGAAGAAAAGTTACCATGCAATTAGCACCAGCATTATTTTGCAAAACCGGGTCTTGATCACAGCTCCCATCAGTCTCTCATTCTCTGTGTAAACACCTTTTCTTCCTTTCAGTAAAGAGGCCACTGTAGGAGTGTAGAGAAATATCATGACTTGCATTAACTCCATAACAGAGAAAAAAAATGAGCAGATATGAACCAGAAGAGCATGAAGCAAAGCCCATGCACCTGGAGTCCTCATAAACACTAAGGCCATATATACGCACATAAACAAACACTTTCAATTTGAAATAACTTTTTATGTGATAATGGGAATGAAACTTAGGGCCTTATTCATACTAGGCAAGTGCTCTACCCCTGAGCTCTATTTTAGCTTGACTTATTGAGCTCAGAGAGATGCAGCATACCTTATAGCTTCTCTCAGCTTCTCCCTTAGTGTTAACATCATGCACAAATGCAAGACTTTTGTTCAACTGAGAAATTAACACTGGTACTTAATTAACTGAACTCTTGATTTTATTAATACTTTCTTCAAATACTATGTTTTTAAAGGCTTGGGTTTTTTGATTTTGTTTTTTTTTAAATTAATTAATCAATGCATCTATATATCTACTATCTATCTATCTATCTATCTATCTATCTATCTATCTATCTATCTATCTATCTATCTATCTATCTATTCACTTTACATCCTGGTCTAGTCTCATCCCTCCTTACCACCTAGTCTCATCCTCACTCCCTCTCCCACATCCCCTTTCCTTATTTCTCAGAAAAGGGAAGCCCCCTTCCCATCCACCCAAGCTCATTAAGTGCTGTCAGGGCTGAAGGTGTCTTATTCCAGTCTCCTGGCAAGGTAGTGCCTCCAGGGGGAAGTAATTGAAAAGCTGGCAAGTTTGGTTTTTGGTCTTCAAGAAAGTGTTTCTCTGTGTAGCCGTGGTTGTCCTGGACTCAACTTTGTAGACCAAGCTGGCCTCGAACTCACAGAGATCTGCCTGTCTCTGCCTCCCAGAGTGCTTGAATTGCAGGCATGTACCAGCAAGCCCAGTTTTTAAAGGCTTGTTTTATCCATTCTGAAATAATATATAATTTTTAATGTTGAAAATTTTAATATTTATTAGACAAGTTAAAATATATATTTGGAGAAGAATTAATGACCCATGGTACCGCCACACACACATAACCACTGGTACATCATAGTGTTTGGCTAAGGATTTTCCATTGCTTTGATAAAAACCACTTGTGTGTAATTTTTAAAACAAAAATTCCTATATCTAAATGCAAATAAAAATTCATTCAAAGACAAAAAATTACTAATAATAGACTTTTAAATTTTATTTTAATTTTATATTCAAAGAAAGGAGAGATGCCTCAGTGGTTAAAAGCATTTCCTGCTCTTGCAAAAAACTGCAGTTTGAGTCCCAGCAACCACATGGCAGCTCACAAACACCTGTAACTTCAGTTTCAGGGTATCTGATGCCGGCTTTTGGCCTCTACATGCATGTAATGCACATAAACTCAGGCAGACACACACACACACACACACACACACACACACACACACACAAGAATAGTAAATAAACAACTCACTGTTGGTACTCCAGCATAAAAATATAATATTTAATCCACTATCTTTAAAAACAGATGGAAAAAGATGCATCTAAAGTGCCAATAGTTTATCACTAGTGACAAACACTTTAACCACTCTGTTTAGAAATTTCTATGAACAACTAATTTGTAAATGACCTTTCTGTCAAGGTCAATGTGCAAATGCCTTAATTCACCCAGGAGATGCACAGGAACATGAGACAGATGGGCATTCATTCACTCCATCTCATAGTCACTTGAGGAGATGGTAGGGATGAGACACAGGTCTCTAGTCCTAGCTTCCTAGCTGTAAGATCCCTCTGCTGACTCATTACCTTCTTCTAATCTAGTTTTTACCATTGCAATGGATTTGTTTCCTGTGTTCCATTTCCTATTTCCTGCACATCTGAGAAAATGCATTGGCCAAGTGAGTGCATAGGAATGACCAGACTCTGAGGCCATACCTCATCCCTTCCTTTACTTGCCTCTTGCTCCATCTAGTTCTATGTTGCCTCTACAGTTTTACAAAGCCACCTTCAGGGTCTTCATACTAAGGACAGACTCTGGAGAAGTCCCACACAGAAGTGAAGCCTTTACTAAAACTCATGGTCTGTAGTTAAGCAAATGCCAGCAAAAAACCCCATATAGTACATAGGTAAATAGACTTTCACATTTTCACTTTTTTTTTTCTTTTGAGACAGGGTTTCTCTGTGTAGCCTTGGCTATCTGGGACTCACTTTGTAGACCAGGGTGGCCTCAAACTCACAACAATCCACCTGCCTCTGCCTCCCTGAGTGCTGGAATTTTGGCATGCACCACCGTGTCCAACTCACATTTTCACTTATTAAACACAGTATGTTTGTCCAACTGTATTCTGCTCGTGTCTTTGAAGAAAGATGTAATTCCAGATGGAATGTCTATATTTTTATGTGTATCCAAGGCATACAGATGTACTCAGTGTCCTTTTACCAAAAGTAATTCCCCCAAGATTTACCTGCAGTCACTGTCTTGTGAAACAGGATTGGATTGGCCACAAGGACAAGCAGTAGTGGCAAGTATGTGGTGACATAATGGGGAATGGCGTGGTCTAGGCCCCTCTGACACCTTAAAAGAGTAATATCAAAACATTATCCTTTAAAGAAATGCTTTGGCTGAGATGGGCTACTTACCCGGAAGCTGAGATAAGAAGTTAGAGCAGAGAGGAAAAAGCATCAGTCGGCTCCTGACTGGGTCCAAGGAAAATCTGACTTGTTTCTCTTGTCTAAAAACAAGTAATGCATTACAGGATGGTGAAGTAGATGGGTCATATTCCTGTCTCATAAACAGGAGGAATGATAGAGCATTCCACTGGGAGAAACTTATAAAAGCATTCTGGGAAAACAAAAGGATGTAAAAAACATTCTGGAATGGTAGGTTCTCTACACTGGGTCTCTTTATGTGGAGGTGTAGACAAAAGAATCCATTTAAATACTAGGCTTTGGGTACTTGCTACATGGTCTTGCCCAGTAACGGGAATAAGATCTACTTACTCCCTATTCTTGAGCAACTCAGAAACTCAGAATATGGAAGTTAAAGATTTAACATAGCCTGGTGGTTGTGATATACATCTTTAATCCCAGTAGAAGGCAGAGGCAGAGGCAGGCAGATCTCTATGAGTTTGAGGTCACCCTAGTTTACAGAGCGAGTTCCAGGACAGCCAGGGCTACACAAAGAAACCATGTCTCTGAAAATGAAAAAGAAGAAAAGGAAAAAAAAAGATTTAAAATTAGCTGGGTGTAGTGTTGCTCACCTTTAATCCCAGCACTCAAAAAGCAGGTGGATCTGTGAGTTTGAGATCGTCCTGGTCTATAGAATGAGTTCCAAGAAAGCTAAAGCTATATAATAGAGAGACCATGCCTCAAAAAACAAAATATTTAAATTAAGTATGTTTTCATTATCATGGATAACAAAACTCTCTGCAGTTCTTTTCAGGGCAACTAAGGAGGATTTCTAAAAATTAATCACAGAAATCATTAGCCAACTTATGATGTAGTGGAAGGTCATGCATTCATCATGTTATAAAGGTAGGAATTGGAGCTGAGAGTTGGCTCAGAGGTTGAGAACACTTGCTACTCATGCAGAAGACATAGGTTCAGCTCCCAGTGCCTACATATACAATCATCAGAGGATCATGTGCCCACTTCAGACTTCTTCAGGTACCAGGCACACACAAGGTGAACATAAATACATGAGGCAAAACATTTATAAACATAAAATATTTTTAACTTAAAAAAGAAGGTAAGAACTATCAGCTAGGACATACATAATGTAAGAAGAAAAATGGCTGAGTAGAAGTGAGAAGTGAAGGCAAAGTAGGACGCAAGATAGATAGCTCAGGCACAAAGAGAAGTTAACAAACCCTTAGGATACCCACTTCTAGTACAAATATTCTTCTTCACCTTTGAAAGCTAAATATCATCTGAAAAAAAGTTCAAGCCAGTCAGGGAAACAAAAGAAGGAGAAGAAGTGATTCTGATAGAAAGACAGAAAGAAAATGACAGGTGAAAGTAAGGGTGTACTTAAAGAATGCCCAGAGTTCTAGAACATGTGTAACATAGGACTAGGAGATAATAGTGTATGCATCAAGACTAAATCTGAGCTATCTGCCCAAGGCATTTGAGCATCTAGGGATTCCTTGCAAGATCTGAATCCATGGAACTCTTGGGCTCACAATTTTTTCAGGAAGTTTCCAGAACCCACAGTGAAGCACACGAGAAAAGAAAGGACTCTTCCGTTGAGTATATTCTACTATTATAGATAAGACACTGTTGTCTGTCTTTTATAAGTTCTCCAGAAAGTAGACTATACAGTGGACCTGCACAGAACTCCCTGACAACCATAGCAGACAACGTGAAATGTCTCCCCACAGGCTCAGATATATGAAAATTTGGTCCTTGGATAGCAAGTAGTGTTGTTTGGGAGGTGGTGGGCAGCCTTGCTGAAAGAAATATGTCACAGGGTGGGCTTTGAGAGTTTACAGCCTTGCTCTACTTCTACTTCACTTTCTGTTTTGTGTTTATGGTTAAAGATGTGATTTCTTGGCTTCTAGCTCCTATAACCATGGCTGCTATTTGCTGTCATGCCTCTTTGCCATCATGGATTCTTATCCCTCTGAAAGAGCAAATACAAATAAATTCTCTCTTCATTAAGTTACCTTTAGTCATGGTGTTTTATCATAGCAACAGAAAAGTAATTAATAAAAAATGCAATGCCAAAGTAGAGACAGACATCCAACTAAGAATCTGAAAATAGTCAAAAAAGTTCTGTGCTATGGATCAGTAAACTTCTCCTGAGGAAAAGATGACTCATATATTTCAACTTCACGGTCTCGGCTGCAGCTTCAGAATTGTGTTTCTGTAAAGCAAAGGCGGCGACAGACAGCACATAAACAAGTATATGCATATAAACAAGTATATGCTGTGCACCAATAAAATTCTATTCATTTTCTAGTTCCCACCATTTGACTGCAGATTTCATGATTTCCTTGTATTTAATAGCTGAGTAGTATTCCATTGGGTAAATGTACCACAATTTCTGTATCCATTCCTCCATTGAGGAACATCTAGGTTGTTTCCAGATTCTGCCTATTACGAATAGAGCTGCTACAAACATGGTTGAGCAAATGTCCTTGTTGTACAGTTGAGCGTATTTTGGATATATGCCTAGAAGTGATATAGCTGGATCTTGAGGCTGCAATATTCCTAATTTCCTGAGAAAGTGCCAGATTGATTTCTAAAGTGGTTGTGAATGAGTTACCCCAGAAGCAGAAAGACACACATGGTATATACTCACCCGTAAGTGGTTATTAGACATATAATATAGGATAAACATACTAAAATCTATACTCCTCAAAAATCAAAAGGAAAAAAAATAAAAAAAAAAACAAAAAGGAAGACTGTAAGGAAGATGCTCAATCCTCATTTGGAACAGCAAACACAACAGACATTGGAAGCAGAAGACAGGAAACAGGACAGGAGCCTACCACAGATGGCCTCTGAAAGACTCTACTGATAAAGGTATTGAAACTGAGGCTGAGACTCATAGCCAAACTTTGGACAGAATGCATGGAATTTTATGAAAGAAGGTGGAGCTAGAAAGACCTGGAGAGGACAGGAGCTGTAAAAGAAGACCAACAGAGTCCAAAAACCTGGACCCTGGGGGCGCAGCAGAGACTGATGTATCAACCAAGGACCATACATGGAGAGGATCTAGACCCCCTGCTCAGATGGAGCCCATAGACTCAGTCTCCAAGTAGGTTCCCTAGCAAGGCATGGATTTAGTGGCAGGTTCTCTCATCACCTCTCCCTGGGGAGTACAGCCTTGCCAGGCCACAGAGGAAGACAATGCAGCCAGTCCTGATGAGACCTGATAGACTAGGGTCAGATAGAGGGGGAGGAGGACCTCCCTATCAGTGGACTAGGGGTGAGGCATAGAGGAGAAGAGGGAGGGTAGGATTGGGAGGAGACGAGGGAGGGGGCCAAAGTTGGGATACAAAGTCAATACATTGTAATAAATAATAATAATAATAATAATAATAATAATAATAATAATAAGAAAAAAACTTTATTCATACCAGGTGTGATGCCCCAAGCCTGTAATCCCAGCACTCTGCGAGGCAGAACCAGGCAGATCTCTGTTAGTTCGAGGCTAGTCTGGTCTACAAAGTGAGTCCCGGACAACCAAGGCTACACAGAGAAACTCTGTCTCGAAAAGCAAAACAACAACAAACAAACAAAACAACAACCCCCCCCCCCCAAAAAAAAAAACCCACTTTATTCATAAACATAGGCAAAGGGCAAGAATTGTCAGGACAGTTCTGCTGTGCTGAGTCCTAGTTTACACATACCTAAAATCACAGAAACACTGTCTATCTCTGTCTGTTTTCCACATAAATTTAGAGTATTCATCCTCAGACCTTGACGTTTTATAAATATCTCCATTTGTGGAGAGGGGATGATCTCAAGGCTGCAAGCATGTTAGGAAAAATCTCTACCACTGAATTGCCTCCCCTAGGCCCCTCTCACTTTCTTTCAAGATGGATTTAGCTATACAGCTTTTCATTCCTTATTACAGACACACAATAGACCAAGGGCATGGTCACTATAATGTTGGATGACTAGGCTTACCTGGACACAGAAGGGTAGTAAAGCATGACTGCTCCCTCCACGCAGAGCAGAAGAGCTAGGCCCCAGGCCATGATGTGGTACAGCAGGATGGTGCTAGAAGAAAACAGAAGAGGGGTGGTCACAGCTCAGAGGGGCACATGTCTGCCTAGTGGAAATGACCAGATTAAGTTTTGCATTGCCAAGAGACTCCTGTGCTGTTGGTGAGAAGGTTGTTGAGTTTAGATATTTGTTTTTTCAATTAAGGTGAAATTCACATCACATAAATTTGTTATTTGAAAGTGAGCAATTCAGAGACCCTTTGCAGCTTTACAGTGTTGTTCAACCATCAAAACTATCTAGTTCTAGAACATTTTGAGCACCGTAAAAGAAGATCTCATTCCCATTAGCAGTCACTACCATTCTTTCTGGCCCTGAGAACCACTAATTTGCTTTGTTCTGTGGAATTGTCTGTTCTGGATATTCATGCAGGTGCTAATACATTGACTGGCTTTTGTATACGTTTTTTTTTTTTTTTTCACTCAGCATATTCTTATGGCTGAGTAATACACCATTATATAGGCAGACTCCATTCTGCTCCTTTATACAGCCACCAACGGAAAGTTAGACTGTTTCAAAATTTGGCTACTATGAATAAGTTATACTGCTTTGAATATGTGTGTGTGTGTGTGTGTGTGTGTGTGTGTGTGTGTGTGTATTTGAGTTCATATTGTTCAAATTTTGTGTGTGTGTCTTTGTGAAATTGCTGGGTTAAATGGTATTTTCATGTTTAGTTAGTGTACATCTTCATAGATAGCAGTGAATTGTTCTATGACTAAGCTGGACCCAGCCCCTTCATATTTAATTTTTGAAAGAACCAAATTCTCTTTGTCAACAGTGAACACTGCTTTCGTTTCTTTTTTTGTATGTGTGTGTTTTTAAAAACTGGGGATTCACTCTGTTGGCTAAAGTGGCATTGAACTCCTGAGCTCAGGTAATTGTCCTGCTTTAGCTTACCAAGTAGCTGCAACTACAGATACTCACTGTTATGTAACTCTAGCTTTGATGACAACCATTCTAATGGGGTTGGCTGCTACTTCTGAGATTCATATGTAATAAAACCATAAGAGAAAATTCTCATGTGTAAAACCCTCAGACAACACTGTCCAGTTCTCGTCTGTCATGATTTGAATGTCACCAAGAACTTCTAGTGTGAAAATGATGGTATTAAGAGGTAAAGCCTTTAAAAGGGGGAGAAAGCCTTCTGAATAGTGATGGATTTCAATATGTGAATAGTTAACTTAGTTACTTTGATCCTGTGGTAATATATTATGCTAATAGTATACGGCACAGTGAAATCACTCACTTCATGGACATGAAAAAGAGAGAAAGAAGAGAGGGCCAGGGGTCCATGATCCCCATGGAAGGCAGGCTTCAAACAACCTGAAGACTTCTCACTAAGCCACCCTTTGGAGATTCTACCACTTCCCAATTATAAACTGCGAGAATGAAGCCCTTAACACATGGGCCTTTAAGGGATAAGATCCAAACTACAACAGACAACCTCTTGGGGCATAATTCTCATGTCTGTTTCTCTTGACCTTCCATACCCACACAGCACACATATGCTGCATACCATAACATGTTTATGGAGGTAAAAGGACATCTTGAGGGAGCTGGTTCTCTCCATTCCAAGGAATCAAACTCAAGTCATTAAGGCTTGTGGTAAGTGTCTTTATCCACTCAGCCATCTGGCTATTTGAGCCATCTTACCACATGTAAGGTATATTTCTTTCTTTATTTTTCTAAAGACTTATTTATTTTTATTCATTATATTTCATGTGTATGTGTGAGTGCCTGCATGCATGTATATTCACTAAATGCGTGTCTAGTAGCTAAGAAGATGGCTGTAAGATACATGGGTAGCTGTAAGTGACAAGGAATTGTACTAGTATGAAGCTCTGCTTTTAGTGGTCAAGTGTTTATGGAGCAAGAGTTGTAGGCATAGAAAATGCTAATAACAAAACAAGTCTCTTTTCTGAATAGAAGGTTATACTCTCAAGAGGATGGCATATAAAAACCCTCACAAGAGGGCTACAGAGATGGCTCAGTGTTTAAGCACTTTCTGCTCTTCTGGAGGTCCTAAGTTCAATTCCCAGCAACAACATAATGGTTCACAACCATCTATATCCTCTAATGTCTTCTTCTGTTATGCATGGAGTACATACAGATAGAGCATTCATATACATAAAATAAATAAAATCTTTAAAAAAAAACTCACAAGAATCATACAAGTAATGTCTACCCCAATTAGGCAAACAGAAACAGAGGTTGAGAAATCCAGTTCAGAACTGTGATCGTCCAAAGCAGAAGATCATTATAAGTTAAGAGGCCAAACCGTATGATAGCCAGGACAGGGTCCCAATGATATCCATGTCCTGATGTCTAGAACCTGGAAGTACATAACTTTATACAGCAGAAAAGTCCACATGTGACTGAGTAAGGATTTTGAGGTAATCTCAGCTTATATTATTTTTAATCATAGGAATCTATAAAAACACAGGAATACTGGGCTGGAGTACACATAACTGTATCCCTGTCTCAGTAAATAAATCAGCCAAGCAGTGGTGGCATTGAGAGACCAAAAGATTAAAAACCAGCTATTATTAGTTAAGGCCTGAACTAGGTGGGTGGAGAGGTCCAGTAATGCCCTGAGGGGAAGGACCGCCTTACTGCATTCTTTTCCCACCCACTAGAGATACATTTTCTAGGAAACTGGCCCATCCCCCTAGGGAGGAACACCAGGTCATTAATGGTCTGGGACCTTCCTATAGCAAATCAATTAAAAATGTAGCATTTTGACCAATAGATGCTTGCCAGGCAGGAATCACCCCTGCCTTGGGCATGCTGGGATGGACCAGAATCTTTAAATCACCCAAATAACCTGAGCACAGGGCTCTCGGCAAGCACCGCCGTGGCAGTGGGGGGTGTGAGCCCAAGCTGCAGCTTGTAATTTGTAATAAAAAGAAGCTCATGTATTTACAGCAGAGTCTAGTTATTCCTGGTATTTTGGGGTTCGTGGACTGGGCAGAACATTTTGGGGGCCTGTCCAGGATCCCAAGACTCCAGGAACCTGACCTGGAGGTTTTTTTATGCCAGCCGTGTCTAAATGTCTCTGTGCAATGTCTATGTACAGTACTTTCTGTTCTCTATTCTGAAAATTCCTCAGAGCTCGGTGTGACAGTATCTGGGTAGCAAGACGTGATCAATGTGGACGCACTGGTGGTCACAGCTGCCAAAGTTAAGAGGGTCGTCTTTGGCTTCATCAGTATTTTGGTGGGTAATCTGTCTAGTCTGCTTTTTTTTTTTTTTTTTTTGTATGTCTGTTGGGAGTGAAATTGTTAGACATTTCCAGACACACTTCCAACATGGCGGAGCACGGTGACCTTGTACTCCCGCTCCGGGGCAGGGCATAGTCAACCCTCCACACTGTAAGCTCCGGAAGGCCTGCTCTCACAGGCCCAGACTGCCTGGTCCCAATGAGCACCACTAGGTGTCTCCCAGGGCGACAGCCCACTCTCGGTGTCTCCTGGGGCAGCAGGGTCCATGCCTCCTGCACCCACTGGGGTGTAGCAGTAGGAGGAATCAGTATGTTGGGTCTGCCTCAGAAGAGTCAGTTTTGGTCCCAGGAAATTTGGCCAGCTGGTGAGTGCTTTTTGTCTCAATGTCTCTGTGCAGTATTTGCTTTTGTATGTAGGGCCATCATGTTCGTCTTTGACTAATCTTATGCTCTGTAGGTCATGGCTAATATGATCAAAAATGATTGGGTATGTTTAAAGGTTAAATTCAAACTTGTTTAAAATGTATATGTGTGCCTATGTGTTTATAAGGTTTATAAATGCATATGTTTAAAGGCAACAATATAGGTTGCCACGTGGTATGACTCCGCCATCTTGAAATCGCCTCGTGAAATGTAATGTGACCTCTGACCACCATCTTGGTGGTCACATGATATGGGTTTTAAAAAAAGGGGGGAGACCTTAGTCAAATAATTTTCATTTCCTTTTAGATTAAAAGGATGAGTTATTTTAAATTGGTGTTGGTTTTAAAGATTGGATTGTTTGCACTGGTAAATTCTGGTTTTGACTTTTAAAATTTGACTTCTAGTTTTGGTTATGCTTTGTGACTTCTCTCCTACCAAAGGGGTACTTTATTTTGATATTGCAAAAACAGGTTTTAGAAAATATTTAAATCTTTAAGGCTATAAAATGTTTAAAGTTTATCAGGCATTTTAGACAATGATCTTGGGTAGTTTAACAAAAAATTTGAAACAGTTTCTTGATCCTTTGGGGGAGAACAAAAAAACTTTGGGTATTTATTTTATTAATTTTACTAAATGAAACCAAGCCATATGGTTTGCACTAATTGAGAAAATTGCAGGGTTTTTTTAGAATGTATCTTGTGGAGAGCTGTTTGTCTGTTAAGCTGCTTTGTTTATGGAGAAACATGTTTCCACCCTGTTCTTTACCTTGAGGCAGAGAAAAGAGGAAGTTTCACCAAGTTCCTTAAAACTTGTTCTAAGTTTTTTAGAGTTTGTTTATGTGACCTTGGACCACCCTGTCTGCTACAGGGAAGTTATTTTAGAAAAACAATTGGGAAGTTTCAGAACTTTTTGTATTAATGTAACTTGTTTTTGCTTTGCCTATAAAAAACAAATCATGGACACTGGGCTCCAGCAGGATCATGTCAGGATGGAAAGGATTTTGATGAGTTTTTATGTTGTCTGAAAAGGAAGGGAGAGAGCAAGAGATATTTAAAAAATAGCTTGTCTAAAGTAAGAATGTCTGGTTAAGCCAGAAGAACGAAGCTAGGAACCTGAAGGTACACAGAATGTTGCAGAAGGTTAGTGGATGTATTATAAAAAGCCAGAGAGTTAACATGATTTGAGAAAAAGCTGTATTTAAAAATGTTATAATTCATTAAAAAGGCTGGTGATTCGTCATTGCAAAATCTTTTTCATGCTCTTTTAAGGGGAAAAATGCTGGCTGATAGGTTTGGTATAGCTAGAATAATTCATACAGTTTAAAATTGTTCTGTACTGTTATGTTATGCAGTTG